TTAGCAAGGCTAGATGCATCTCAGGCAATTGTTCAGAACACCGGCTATTTCGTCAAGCAAACCACAAGTTTCCATAGCTATTGGCTTTTTTGTCCATCAAAAATTAAAGAAGACCACCAGATGGCATTGTCAAGCAGATGGCGGTCCTCCGATAAAATAATAGGAGAGTTTGTGAGGCTGCGACGCCGTGCTTTCCGCGCTTGTTGTGAGAGATGTCACTTTAACGTTTATATTTAATTGCACAGTACTGTTATCTTATCGTGCGATTCGTCTATTTTTAGGACAAAAATTTAGCTGTGCCATAGCAACGCATGGGCACGAACCTAGTCTCCTACAACTAAAAAGACTAAAAGTAAGACTATTTTTTGGTGCGACATTTTTTTTTGTCGTTCCTCCCTTCCGGCCATGCGATACCCCGCACGATAGAAAAAGAAACTGCCATCCCTGCGATCCCCGCCTGCTTTGAAGGAAACAAATCAATCACCTGAGGCCACATGCATGGAAGGAAACAATAATCATGCATGGAAGGAAACAATTGGCAAAGATCAAGCAAGACTCCTCCCTTCCGGCCATGCGATACCCTGCGCGATAGAAAAAGAAACTGCCATCCCTGTGATCCCCGCATGCTTTGAAGGAAACAAATCAATCACCTGAGGCCACATGTATGGAATGAAACAATAATCATGCATGGAAGGAAACAATTGGCAAAGATCAAGCAAGACGACTCAATGAGGTTTTCAGCATGCGGACCTGAAATTAAAAAGTGGCTGCTCCTTGAGAACATGAGTGATGCCAAATAAAAGATATACAGCTTATACATGGTGAGATTGGTGAACCTTCTGCAATTTCCTAAATGAATATTCCCACCATTCGTATATAGGTCCATTCCCCTGCGTTTCTTCGTGTTCCAATTAGCATATAATATGAAAGTATTGTTGTGTTCATCACGACTTCCAGTTGACTACTCCCATTAGCATATACTTCCTCTGCCCCAAAATATAAGTCATTATGGGATGTGTGCAGGTCAAACTTTCTCAACTTTGACTAGGTTTATAAAAAATACGTGCAACATTTATATCTTCAAATAAGTTTATTATAAAAATATATTCAATGGTCTATGTAACGATACTAATTATGTATTATAAATATTAATGTTCTTTTATATATAATTGGTCAAAGTTAAAAAAAAGTTGACTTCTCGGGAAGCGAGAATGAATTCTATTTTGGAACAGATGGAGTATATGAAAGCAGTGTTGAAAATATTTTAACAATCAAGTTTATCTTTGTCTGATTGGAAAGCTTAGACATCATAATGGCATCAAAAATTTCGACTCTTATGGACACTCTCATGGATCAGTGCAAAGCATCACAATCCTACAGTATACACAAATGACAACCTTAAAGTTATGATATTTTTAAAGGGTGGACAATAAAGATCATCTTAGACGTTCTGGCATTAGAGTATATATGTGCAGACACATAGGCATGGTGGTGCAAGTGAGCAGCCAGCAAGAGTCGAGAGTTAGGGAGTGTTTAGATCCCAGGACTAAACTTTAGTCCCTGTCATATTGAATTTTTAGATATCAATTAGGAGGACTAAACGTGAGCTAATTATAAAACTAATAATTACATAAGTTGTGGCTAATTCGCTTGTCAGCGCCGTGTATAGGATGGTATGGAGATGTGGTGGAACTTATTTGTGGATTTGTTGGCGCACGAAAGAAATGGATATCGAAAATCTCTTCCTGCCGGTATAAAAACTGATCTTAGCCGCATCACGGAAAGATCTACACAGTAGAGTTTGTGAGCCTGCGACGCCATGCTCTCTGTGACTGTGTAAATTTCACGAACTTAGCTTTTTGGATTAAATGTCACTTTAACGTCGGTCATATACTTTTACAGTATTGTTATCTTATCGTGCGATCCATGTATTTTTAGTACAAAAGTTTAGCTGTCCCGTAGCAACGCACGGGCACGAACCTATTTACATATATACTCGAACCTGTGTGTATATGATTATATGGAGATGCAGTGAAACTTATTCACGGATTTATTGGCGCATGAAAGAAATAGATATCGTAGAATTCTTTCTGCCGATATAAAATATTATCTTAGCCGTATCACGAAAAAGTCTATACAGTAGAGTTTGTGAGCCTGCGACACCGCGCTCTTCGTGACTGTGTTAATTTCACGAACTTTGTTTTTTGAATTAAATATCACTTTGACTTTGGTATTTAATTTAACAGTATTGTTATCTTATCGTGCGATCCGTGTATTTTTAGTATAGAAGATTTAGTTGTCCCATAGCAACGCACGGGCACGCTACCTTCTCGGTCTCCTTTATATGCTTCTCCTTTGGTGGAGGTGCATGGGCATGCGTCGCTCTGACGGTGGAGCGATGGAGTGCCCTGGTGTCTAGTGGCACACTACGGCAGGCGCTGCTGGTGGTAGAGGCCCAAATTTAAGTAATGCATTCTGTAGAAACGGATGAGTTTTTTTTTTTGGCTGTCTCCAGAAATCTTATTTGCAGATGTGGTTGGAGACCCGCCTCTTGAAACCTTTCTAGAGACACAAGGTTAAAGGCCGATGGTATAGCCGGCTCTAAAAAAGCATTTTTGACCGTCCATAAAAATAGTTTACCTAGTAGTGCAACTTCTATATCGACCATTAATGTTGATCACATTTTTGGTTTTGTGTGTATATGAGTCATGGTTGTAATAATTAAGAAATGATATAACTTGTATTCGAAGATGGGTCCGACGAAGCTCCCTTCATCCGATCCATACGTACATGCAGCGTCGCTTCCCCACGGAACTTGCATCACTTGTGGTGGCCCACTAGGCCATCTTGCTTGCTTGCAGCGTCAATCCAGAAATTTGCTTCGGTAATGCTTCCGTTAGGGCATCCGTCCACGCCGGATGCTCCTTGACAGGCCTGCGCGCTACCGCTACCGGCTCAACAGGTCTGTCTACTCTCTACGTCTCCTCATCTCTCACAAAAATATCTCCCCACTTTGCTCAGCCATCGCGTGCTTCACCACACCGTGCGGCCATCCGCTCGCCCCAATCTGAATCGCCTCCGCAGCCATCTCCTCGCGCGTGCCCCCATTCTACGTCGTGTCACCCCACTCTTCCTCGCCGCCCTGGGCATCTGCCCATGTGCGCACCTATCATGCACCGCAATCTGCCTCGCCGCCATGGCCATCCACAGCTGCGCCAACCCACTCTGCCTCGCCGCCGCGGGCATCCACCGCCGCGCCCCACTCCGCGCTCGCCCGTAGCGGCCATGGCGTGCACTGCGCCACCACTACCCGACGCCACCAGGTGAAAATCATCGCCGGCCTAGACATCGTCTCCCGCGGTTGGCCGAAGACACCACGACAGGAAGAAGCGCATGTTGCAAGCGTATGTTTCAAGTGTTTCAGATATTTCAGAAGTATGTTGCAAGTGTTACATATCGATGTTGCAAAAGTAGATCGGGATGTTGCACATGTTACAATGGCCATACACTTATGTTGCAAGCGTTTGTTCGAAATGTTTCATTTGTTTTAGACATGTTGCAAGTGTTTTATCTGGATGTTGCATGTGTTTCATACAGATGTTGAAAGCGTTTGTTCGAAATGTTTCATCTATTTTATACTTATATTTGCAAGTGTTTTATCTGAATGTTGCAAATGTTTCACGCGCATGTTGCACGCGTTTGTTCCAAATATTTTCAACTGTTTTAGATGTATGTGCAGCAAGTTTTTTGGTGTTGCAAGTGTTTTCAGGTTTCAAGCGTTGGATGGGAGGGCCAGAGTCACACGGTGCACATCCTCAGGCGGGGGTGCGAGCACGATACAGAGCAGGCACAGGCGGTCCCCCGCATGCGCAATACAGTGCAGTCCCTGTGTGCGAGTGGGTGGTGCAGGCAGGGCGAGGCATCCGGACGATGCGGGCGCGGGAAACGAAGGAGGGCGCAGCAAACGGAGATGCACGCGACACGGGGTGCAGGCGCGGGCGTCCTTCTTGGTGCTAGCATCTCCCAATTTCCTTTTACTATAAAGTCGATCATTGATGATATTTACTCCCTTCTTCCCATAATAAGTGCATATCTCACAATCGAGAGTCAAACTTTGCGAAGTTTGACCAAACATATACAAAAAATTACTAATGTTTAAGATGTTGTAATAAGTATCCTTAGATTCGTTATGGAATATACTTTAATAATAAAACTATTTGGAGAGACAAATATTGATATTTTTTATATAGTAAGTTAAATTTTAAAAAGTTTGACTCCTCGATACTCGTGATGTGCACTTATTTTGGAACGTAGGGAGTATGTGTAATATATAAACCTTTCAATCTTTGGTTATCTAATATCAACCTTTTATATCTAAATACACCTAGATAGACAAGGGTGGTGCATCTCAATCTGATCACCTGAAAAGATCTTCAAAGCTAGAGGCAACTGCTGACCGTACCGTCAAGAACACAACGATGTCTGAAATGTTCTGTAATAGCTATCCACTAGTAGTATTTTATTTTCGCTGCAACTTTTTCCTCGGTCCGATCCTGCTTTCACGATCTTGGGAAAAAAATTAAAGAACCGTCAGGACGACGAGGACCTGAAAAGGGAAGGAAAGGATGTGAACGTGCAACAATTGGCGCGTACGCGTTGAAGAACTAACGTTCTGCTAACTCGGAGTCAGCACGCAGTGCAAGTTTTACAAGGCGTCCGACCACATCGCCTCCAATGTCCGACGTCGTCGTCGATCTCTTTTCTCCTGCCCCGTCCAAGACGAATCCACCGGGCCCGCGGTTACGTCCACGACCTGAACCAGCATGCATGCTGTTTCCAGGCGTTTTCTCCGATCGATTCTCCAACTAGCCTTTTAGAACGGCATAGTCCGTGCTCACGCCCATCGCAGCCGTCATCTGCACATGCACAGCACAGCCGCGCGTGGAAGAAGGAAAGCTAAGCAGCGAGAAGAACCGGCCGCCAGCCCCGGCCGCTGCTCGATGGCAGCAACGCGAGTGTGCTTGTTCGCGCTCGTCGGGGCCGTGGCGTTTCTCTTCTTCTTGGATGGTGCAGCAGAGGCGAGAACTGTGGGGACGTCGTCGGCGCAGCGCCGGCGACAGGTTCGAAGCCTCCTCCGGCGGCTCAACATGCCCCCTCTCGCGACCATTGAGGTATGTACTGGCCCATAACACGATCGTTGGGGCTGCTGTCTTCCTTTTGTTCGTGGGAGTGAATTCGATCTTGCGAAGACTGTATGATACAAATGACTTCTCATCCACTCTACCGTACCTTTGCTAGTCCCAACACACCAAATGTCCAAATCCTCCTCCTGCCTCGTGAATTGCAGCACACATGCATGGTTCGCCATGCATGCATGGAGTAAAGGTAGTGCTTGACGTTGTTTTAAAACTGTCTTTTAGCACCATAAAAAAAAAACTGTGTTGTAGCGGCATTTAGCGGAGAGCTCGGCTCAACCGCTATTTAATTAGTACAACTGTGTTACCACTATAGTGCCCCTATAAACCGCTTTTTAAAAATACTGGTGCTTTCTGATACAGAATATGTACCGCGCTGTTTATAAAAGTGGCCCATGGCATGGCTCAGCATATATGCTTGACGAGTAACATCCAGTCCTGCGACAGAGTTTCCTACGAAAAGTCTTAATCTTACTGTAGAAACCTTTTCTATATATCGATGGACTCCCTTGTGGTTTTTATACGAGAGATAGGATACCAGAAAGACATAGCTTATGGATGGTTTTATTAAGTCAACCATCTATAAAAACCATTTTTATCAGACATTGGACTTAGTAAACAACCATTTCATATTTTTGAAAACACATAAAATTAATAAACTGCAACGGAAAAAATAGAAAAATATTTTCACTCACAGGAGGGACTATTGCAGCACAAGTGCCTTTTAGTGAAGCACCTCTAAAACTGAATTTTCAAGGGTGGCGAGATAAATATCCCTGTTTTCTGCGGTGATTGACATAATAAAGCTGCCCTAAAAGATACAGGTTTCTAGAGTTGGTTTAATTATGTCAACCATCCCTGAAAATCGGTTTTTAGAATAGGTTCATAAGCTACAGTATGGTCTAGCATATAGAGAAGCGGTTGACTATGTCATCGGCTCCTGACAAAACACGAAGCAAATATAAAAGTTATGTATGCAGTCCTGCCAATTGTAGTTGTTTTTTTTACTTTTAACCAATTATATTATTAAATATGTGTTGAATTTGTTTTAGTAAACTTATCCAAAGGATAATGTGGAACAAAGTTAATTACCTTTATTATATTTTACTTTTGTAATGGCCTTAGAGGAAAATACAATAACAGGCATAAGGGCAATTTGATTTATTTTCTTCAATTTATGAGGTAATTTTGATGCTCGAGAATTAACGTGGTGGAGGATTCTTTAATTTTGTTGATCAAATATACTAAGATAATAGTTGTTTTATCTTTGTCTGCCTTGTTGCAAAAACTGATTCTGCAAATTTGTTGAGAAATTAACAGAGCCCAGATGGAGATATCATAGGCTGTGTGCACATCTTGAAACAGCCTGCATTCGATCATTCTCTCCTCAAGAGCCATACTATCCAGGTTTCTCTCTTTATAGCACCATTAACCTTTTGGTTTAAGTGTTGTGCATGTTAAGCTAGCCTAACTTATCATGATATAACTCAAATGATGCTCTGTGGTCACCATTCAGATGATGCCCTCTTGCCACCCAGAAGGCCTCAGTAACAAGTCAAACATTGCATCCAATCCTTTCACCCAAACATGGCATCAAAATGGCAAGTGCCCAGAGAACACCATACCAATCCGAAGGACCAAAGAAGAGGATGTCCTGAGGGAGAGCTCCATTGAGAGATATGGCAAGAAGTGGCCGTGGAGCATCCCAAATCGTTTTTCCATTGATGACCCTGACGCAGTCAACGTATTGAGAGGCCACCAGGTACAAGACTTATCCAAGGATCACTTTCATAGTACTACTAAAAATCCTCCTTAAGGGTTGTTGCTATTATTTCTGAAATTTGTCATTTAATTTTATTATTTTCTCTCCCACTGAGCAGCATGCCGTAGCATCTGCATCGGAGGATGAGAACTACTATGGTACCCAAGCAACCTTCAATTTGTGGGAACCAATTGTTGAGAGGGACGAAGGATTCAGCTTGGCCCAGTTCTGGATTAGTAGTGGGTCCTACTCAGACAACGACCTCAATACTATAGAAGCAGGATGGCAGGTGAGTCTTTTTACAAAAAAAAGAAATGATACGGTATGTCTAAACGAACTCAGTTGAAGAAGCAAGCAACAACCAATGAGATTACACAAGAGACAAGCAAGTAGCAGCTACTGTGAGAACAGAATGAAGACACTACAGAAACAATCCAAATAAGGTTCCATGGCCATTTCAGAAATGAAGTTGCACCTAGACTGTTGAAGTAGTTCTGTTTTAAGGGATTTCCTCTAGTGGCAATGATTTCTAAGGGAGGTAGAGTGATACAAACATTTAATTAATACATTGCCTAAACATTTAATTAATACATTGGCTAGTGCCAATGATTTCACAAATGAAGTAGCACGTAGACATATTTGTTACGTGCTACCTAGATGATCTCAATGGAAAAAAGACAGAACAGCAATACTAAGACCATCTTGCCAGTTTTGTCTGCTTCACCAAATGACAGCCTCAAATCCTCTGTCCTCTCTTGTCACCTAAGTAACAAACAAATCTCAGTTCAAGAAAATTGACAGACATGGCAGATGATAACATCGCACTAATATATAAGACATAACATTCTGTAAAGGTGCAGTAAGTTGTAAAATCTAACGTCCATATGCATAATACAAATTGTAGGTTTACCCAGGTCTGTACAAGGATAGCCATACAAGACTCTTCATCTACTGGACCGTAAGATAAACATTACAATGCTTTCATCGTCAGTTTTAATATTGCGCTTTTTTAACAAGTTTGGAAATAGCACACTAAAGAACTTATTTTCTATGTATGTGGAATATTGTAGCGGGATGCATATACAACAAAACAGGATGTTAAAATCTACTATGCTCAGGGTTTATACAGACAAGCAACCAGATTGCCATTGGTGGTAGCAACTCCTCCTATCTGTCCCCTGTCTCCACCAATGGTGGCTCACAATATGACATCACTATTTTAGTTTGGAAGGTAAACACCAAAAGCTTTCACAATCGATCTGCTTTTTGTTCATAATCAACGTACTTTCAGACTTTAGGCCACACTATTGAAGTAGCACTTAGACTGTTGAAGTAGTGTTCTTTTAAGGGATTTTCTCTACTGCCAATGATTTCTATGGGAGGTAGAGTGATCCAAACATTTATTTGATGCATTGGCTAGCTAATATCAATTACCCATTTTGAACTTCTATGGAAGGTCTGGCTGCTAAATTAGAACTTAACAGAGATAAGACTTAGGAGCTATAGTACTGATTGAAAAACTATCAACTATTAACATGTCTGATTACATATGGCATGACATGGCATTTTTTAATTATGCATTAGCTTTCATCTAGTAGTTATTCTTAGTCCACTATGCACACGTCATGTATCAAATAATGCATGTCAAATTCCTACTCTCGCAATGGTAGTTCTTAGTCCACTATGCACACGTCATGTCACAAATAATGCATGCCAAATTCCTACACTCCCAATGGTATGTTCCAAACTTCTCAAGTTTGTGAAAAAATGAAAACAATGATTGCACTTCCGTTACCATGGAAGGGAAGTATATAAACCATTCCTTAGTGAAAATAAGGAACCCGTACACAAGCTTTTACTCTGATATGGAATCTACAACAATATTCCCTAATTATGATTTTGTCTACTGAAATCTCCAATAAATTTTGAATTTCAGGACCCAAAGGAGGGCAATTGGTGGTTGCAAGTGGGAGCCCATGATCTGGGCTACTGGCCAACTTCGCTCTTCTCTAAGTTGGCAGGTAGTGTCGCCTCTGACGAGTGGGGAGGCGAGGTGGCATCGTCACCGGATGCGGCCCAAACATCCACACAGATGGGTAGTGGACACTTTCCTGAGGAAGGGTTCAGCAAGGCCAGCTACGTCAAGAACATTCAATTGGTAGATTCGACCAACAATCTCAAATCGCCTAGTATTGTGAACTTGTTAGCTATGTGGCCCAAGTGCTACAACGTGCAGAATGGTACTAGTGCTGATTGGGGCACTTACATCTTCTATGGAGGACCCGGGAAGAACCCTAACTGCCAATAGCAAATATTGAACTGGTTGCAGCCCAAACGTCTCATTGACACAAGAACAATTCCCCATAAGACATGCATTATGCACTACTCGACGCCGAATAAGTATTATTAAGATCTATATCATTGGGTGTAATAGTATACATTCCCACTTCTCGCATTGCAAGGGTAAATTGCTACATATTTATCTACATTGTAGGTATAAACAAGGAATAGAAGTTTGAAGGATATATAACTTAAGAGCATGTTTAACAATATCAAATAAGTAGGTGTCATCATCTGTAAAAATACAAATGTACTAGGACTGCTGATAAGTGCCCTACCATGGGTAAGCAGAGACTGACATATGCATGCACATTTTTACTAGTTAAATAAATGTGATTCACTACTACACAAAACATAGAGGTGATCAATCAAGAACCGCGTCTAAGAGTGATTTCAGAGCTGGCTTGTGTCAAAATCGATTTTTACAGGCAGTTGGAAACACTAGCATAAAATCGATTTTAGGAGATAGGCCATTTTTTACAGAGCGGTCACAACATACGTGTGTCTCCTATCCTAAGACAGATGCACCATTTTTGGAGACACCTACCCCTGTACAAATCAATCAACAAAGGTGGGCCTCCTATGTAACACCCTAAATTTTACAACATTTTAAAATAGGGGAAATTGAGTTATTAAGCATTTTATGGGCATTTGAATTTAGGAAATAATAATTTTATTAAAAATAAAACCAAATATAAGGTCAACAACCATGAATGTGCATTCATGCCGCTGCATATTATTTTGTATTGCCTGGTTTCAAGTCGGATTTCGAATTTAGATGGAATTGCATTTTGAATGGCTTTGGAAAAATTGAAAAGAAATAGATTTCCTTTTTCTTTTCTTACCTCTGCTTTTGGCCCACTCAGCTTCGCCCACCCGCCGGCCCAGTTGGCCACTGGCCTTTCCTTCCTTGGGGCCAGCCCAGCTCGGTTTTGTTCCCTGGCGCATCGCGCGGCCCAGCGCTGCAAGCCGTCGGCCCATTCCCTCCCGCGCTGCATCGCTCGGCCCAGCAGATCGCTGGCCCAGCCGCTCCCGCAGACCCGCGCGCCTCCCTCCACCGCTGCCCAGCCGGGCCCGCTGGTCAGGCTCCTTCCTCCTCTCGCCGTGGCCGAGTCGGACACTATCCGCGCCATTGGTGGAGTCCGGCGCTGCTACAACCTCCGAGGTGCCGTGACGCCCAAGTGTTTCGGCCCCATAAATAGCGCACGTGCCCTCCTCTGTCTCCTATCCCATCTGGCGCCTGGTTTTTTTTCGCTCAAGCAGCCGCAGCCGCACCTCGCTCGAGTGCCGCCGCCGACCACCGCTGTCCACCGAGCGTCGAGCCGCCATCGCTGCTTCCCGCTCGCGCATTCCAGTTTGGGTGAGATCCCCGTTCCCTTCTCTCTCTTTCTATACTTGTCTTCCGTCGAATCGTGCCCTTGAAGCTGTGTACCGCGAGCTCCCATAGCCGGCCATGGCGCCGCCATGCTCACTGCCGCCGGCACTGTACCGGTTTGGGTTTTCTCTCTCTCCCCGTCAGATCGATTCCCGGCCGTTTAGATCTGATCCGGCGGCTCAGAAAGAAGGATACCCCTTCGATCGGAATTTTGCGAATAAGCCCTTACAATTATTTCCTATTCAACCCGCAGTCCGAAGCGCGTTTACAGATTTCGTTTTCTCTTTTTAAAAGCGTATTTTAGTTCGGTTTTATTGAAATACGTTTTCAGTTATTCACAGTTTTGCCATTCAACTTGTTTTAGCCATAAAATCTCCGTTTTAACTCCGATTTGATCCGTTCAAGTTGTGTTAGGTTCGTAATTAAGTAATCTACATGTTTATGTTACTGTAAAGTAGATTTACAACTTTTAAAATTCGAGATTAGATTTAATCTATTATTTTGCTATAGGAAAACTTGTTTAATTCATAACTTTTTCGTTTTAGCTCTGAATTTTGTGATCTTCGCGTCTGTGTGATCGTAGCGAGATGTAGATTCGTTTTACAAACTTTTCATCTTGATTTTATGCTGATTGGTGTATTGTTCTAATCTATAGTTTTTGTTTGCTATGCATGATTGTATGGATGCCTGTGTGGTGCTGATTGATCTCGAGTAGACAGTGAGTTTTGTGTTGGTGATCTGGAGCAACTTTGAAGATCAAGACCAGCAGCAATACTTTGAATTAAGGCAAGTATAATATGAGGCTCGTTGTTACCTATTCACTTTAATGCAATCTCAATTCATGTGCATATGTTAATAAACTGCTTGGAGTCTACCTACTTTGATATTGATTATCCTGTCCTTGATATACCTATGGGTTCTGCATGTGGGTAGTATGCTCAGTTTGCTCCAACTAATATTGAGTAAAGAATACAATTAAAGATATATGCGACATGCTATAAAAAGATGCTTTTTAGCAACATAGAACCAAGGGGGCTAGAGCATTGGGCCTTTTCTTAGGGTGCTCTAGTTTCTCTCCATAAGGACTCATCTTTAAGTGACAACCCAGGACTTATAGTACAACCATGAGGACTACATGGCTCTGGTCTTAGTCTAGTACCTTGCTCTTTCTAGTTTGCAACAGTTTACTGAAAGGGCAAGAGGGGCATACCGGGCTGGGTATGGGCCTCATCCCCAGGGTGTGTATTATGCCGCGTGTATCAGTGCCACTTTTGGAGATGACTCC